TCTAAGTGCTTTGCTTGGCGGCGTGCTGTGACCAGGGGCCGAGTGCTTCTTGCCGTTTTGCTGAAGGAGCCCCTGACAACCTGTGCTTTTCTTCTGGTTCAAAAGCTTCGGATTGAATTCGCGAGTCCGGCATCCGCGATCGTTCTCTCTCCGAGTGTGACGCATCCGAATCTCGCACCTTTCGTCTTGAAGGCTCTGGGTTGGCCTGCACGGAGATTGTGCAAACGGGCGACGTGCTCGGGTGGCTTCAGGCTTTGAGGCGCGTGTGGGCAGGCACTTCGCAACTGCTTGGAGCAGCGGCGTGCGCACAGGGGAAGTGCCCCCCGAAGTTGGTGCGAGATGCAGACACACGGAAGTTTCTGTTGCTTAGGTGCGACGTGTACAGAAACAGCAAGCTGTGCTGATACGGAACGGAGGCTTGCAGGCCCGCCAGATCGAGAGAGGACGTGCTTGAGTGGCTTTCAGCTCTTCAAGCAAGAGGTATGGGAGGGTGAGGACATCAGACGACGGGAGTTGTGCCTTGGATGCCACACTTGGCTGTGAGCGCATAGCCACCGCAAGTCCTGCCACCTAGCGATTCTTTAGGTCCCGCAGCTCTGGCGAGGTGGTGCTGCAAACCATGTCGGAATGCTTACGAGAAGCCTGCACGCCCGCCAGGCTAGGCTGTTGTACTATCTCTAGGACGCCAGCTGCTGATTGCATTGGAAGACTGGCTTTTGAAGGAGGGCTGTCCGAAGGCCAGGTTGTAACCCAGGTCGTGGAGGAGCCAAGCCGCGGCTCCTCATTCAAATCGTTGAAGTGTCAAAAAGTGCAACGGCTGGTCTTTGGTCAAGTCTTGGTCCTATAGGTAAGTTGCTCTGGGAGCAAAAAGGGACGGGTGCACCTTCGCAGCGGATGCAAGCAGTCTTTCACCGTGTGCAGGCTTACTGCTGAGCAGTCCGCCTCAGTCATGAGGTGGTCTTCCCTTACTTTCCTTCAGGGACAGGTAAGAAGCCCAGATCTGCCTTTCCTCTTCCGTGGAGGGCCCAGGCCGCGCTGCGGGAATCAGCCATGTTTTGCCTTTCGGGCACAAATTGTTGCAGCAGTCGATGCCGGCGCGGAGGTCCAGCGCAACTTGCCCCTCCCCAAATTTCAGCGAAGCTCCGTGTCGGGAGAGCAAAGGCTGAAGGGTCGAAGAATGCAGAAGGCGGCTGAAGGAAGTTTGGGAGTTATGGGGATATCTCGTTTGATCAGCGTGCAGCCATCAAGCTGCCACCTCAATGCCCAAACCGTCTTTAGCTGATGCAGGCCTCGAGGGACTTGTCCATGGAGGCCTACCTTATTTTGCCACACGCCGTTGTCCGTAAGTTTCATGAGCCCGCCGGCTTTCGTTCGGGTCATCGCCTAGCACATTCCATGGCTTCAGAGCAGCTCCCGCAGACGGGTGCAGGTAGTTTCAAGTAGTTTCCGCTTACGTGTCCCATGCAGGCCCACATGATCGGCCCGCCCAGGCAGCCCGTCGTGCAGAAGGCTTCAAGGCCAAGTAGGAATGAGCATTGTCAGGTTGTGCAGGTCTTGTCAGTCAGGCCGACACCCTTGGTGCACGATGTTGGCGCACCGCCGCACTGGCATCTCAGACTCCAAAAACTGGTTTGCAATTTTGGTAGCGAGACGCGATCGAGGCGTCGGACTCCTCGGCAGACCGCTTCCTCAACCTGGTATTCTCCAGCAGCTGCTGACCAGAGCTCCGACACCGCAGCTTGGCGTAGGACCGAAGATGTCCGGTGCCACAGATTTCTGCAGAGAGGCTCCGTCTGCTTGCAAGGGAAGGCAGAGGCTCCTGAAGGTCGGGCTCAGCTCCCTTTGACGCCAAAACCTCCCTACTCTAGGCCCTAGGGGCCCCTTATAGGTTCATAGGACACATCCAGACTTTCAAAAATCTTCCGCCCAGCAAATTCTGCCTTGACCTCGTCACACGGCGATTTTGGGCCAGCTATGCTTGCTGTGAGTCCAGGAGGTCGTCGTTGAACAAAACCTCTGTCGGCTGTTGTGAAACCCTATCTGTAGTGGAGACTTCTCTCGTTTCGTGGGTCCTTTGGTCGAACCGGCCGAATGTGGCACGAGTCAGATTGCAGTCGGCAGGCCTAGGGCAATAAGGACAGCAGTCGGATCCCTTCTGAAAACAGGTCGAGGAGTCTAGGTCCTGCTCGGCAACAAAAATTCTTCTTCTTGGCTCACGTTCCGCAGTGAAGGTGAGCTTGGGTAAGATTTGGTTCCTCTGTAGCTCGTAAACATGGACCTAGTCCATGCAAGCAGTGTTTCAGCATGTTGCAACAGCGTCTGGCGCGAGTTTTTGCGGGAGATTGTGGTCCGTGCCTGGGATTGGACCCGACAAATCGTGTGACAGAATGATAGTGTATTCAAAGTGTCCACGGCGCTATATGGAGCCTATAGGCATCATCAGCACAACAACGGAAGTTTCGCGCATGCGGCACCACAGCCAGCGCCCATCTGCAGAGACTCACCCCTGCAAATCCAGAGTCGGCTCTTCCAAAGAGCTGAGATGCAGTACCTGTTCGATGACTGATGCCGATGCAGGGGATGCATCTTGTCTAAGAACTCAGCTGGTTTAGCTGGCGGCAGCTTTTGTGAGTTCGAGCATGAGACGACCTGAAGACGAGGGAGATGACAGACCTCCGCTGTCTCGCAAATGCCATCGGTGACAGGCATGCGACTACATTCGAATCCGCCCACTGAAGGCGAGGACGCCATGAAAAGCTTGACGGGACGATGAAGACGAGAGCTGGAATGAAGCAATACCGCAATCTTTTAGACCTCGTGTGCACAATGTGGACTTTGGACGGTTGACAAATCGCTGCAGGCCCTTCCACCTGCTGAGGAACTTTCCTGCTTGGCCTTTCATGACTTCTCTTCCGCGTTCTAAACCGTAGTACCCCGGCCGCCCCAGCCCTCTCGCAGCTGTCCTGGTCTATGCATACGGTCCGAGCTTTGGACACTGAGGACCGAACTAGCATGCCTTCGCGTGGCGCATTCGGGGTGCTCGAATCCGGGCGCAGGCAATTTGCCCAAAAAGCATTAGCCCGCTTCGTCCAAGACTGTTTCAAGATTCTCAAGATACTGGTGGTTCGGCTGCGAGCCCATGGCCATCACCGACTGCAGACGCCATCGCGTGCAGGGAGTAGTGCCCAGTGACAGAGTGAAGACGATGTTCAGGCCTCGTCGGCGAGCTGCGGAGGCTGTGCAGCATGACACTAGCATTTCCGAGGTGTTTGAGTGAATTTCTCGCGGTTTGGCCGAGCAGAAATTTCTTGGCTTGCATAGGCTGCTCAATGCGGGGCCTCAGATGCCACCACCCCGCGGTCACAGTTGCACAGCAAGGCACACGGGGGTGCTGTTGCGAGACTGCTAGCATGTTGAACCGGCACAAATCCCACAAATGCATGCAAAATTGTGGCCTCCTTCGAATCTATGTATGGTTACTTAGTTGTCCTTACTTGGTTTGTGTATGGTTACTTAGTTGTCCTTACTTGGTTTGTCCGGGCACAAAGCAGACGAGGGGATGCCTACAGCTGGAGCACCATCTTGACACGCTCACGAGGATGCTCGGCTTATCTTCGCGGTGTAAGCTTCAAAGCTAATTTGCTCGCCCATCCATACTGTCGCAACCCCGAGCAACCGCGCAGAAGGATGGTACCATCAGGTTTGTGGCATGTGTTCGATTTCTTGCCCCCCAGCCGGCCACGACTCTTCCATGGTCCTGGCAGGCGGGTGCTTATTCTGTCTTCGGTGCAGCCTCGAAATGCCACCACGGGTGAAACACGAGGCGAGTTCTCAACCTGCAGTGCTCCTGCACACTTGTCAGGCAGAAACTGAAGTCAGGGTTGTAGACAACAAGCGCAAATACTTACAGAAGGCACCGGCATCTAGCATGCAATGTCTGAGAAGCTCATGTTCCCAAAGGCGTGCCATGTGCGACCACGGTGCTGGGCTGTTGTTGGAAGGTTGAGTGACGCTTGGCACAGCTGAAAGGGCTGGTGGGGTTTCTATTCTGTGGGTCCTGCGATCCAAGGAAGCTGGGATTGGCATGGCCCTCTCGTCCACCCATGGAGCCACCCCTGCATGGTGGCATAGCATGCACAACCCACACGTCCAGAGCGCCCAAACATCTTCGCTGAATGCAGCCAAAGACGGCTGCTACGTCGCTGTGTCACGCAGTGGCCAGCCTTCGAACCTGGGATAACGCGGCATATGAACGCAAGAGTTCTGCTTTGTGAGTTCAGTCCCTGGCATTTCGTTGGCATGGGCTTTCTTACATGTCCTCCTCCTGGTCGGATCCTTGTGTGCCGTTATGCTCGATCTGCAGACGCTGTTGTTGCCTTTGCCTCTTCGCAGATTTTCCGATCTTGTGTTCAGTGTTTGTGTGGCCGTGGCCACGATGCAATGGTGCCAACCGACCACACAAGCAGCATAGCTGCCGCCTAGGTGCGATGTGTGGATATTCTCTTGTGTGCCCAGTTTGTCCCCTAATGAAGTCTGCCTGGGTGCATGAGTGGCGAGAGAGACGGAGCTGCCACGGGCACGGCCAAGAGGGCATGGCAGAGTGTAGCTTCGCTCGTTTGGCGAACAGGACTTGCATGCGAACAGGACTTGCATGCTGGCACGTTCTCTCCAGATAGGCCAGAGATCCACCTGTTCCATCTATCCCGTGCTGGCTCGGCGGAGTAGTCTCGGCGTGAGATGCACATGCAGCATCGAAGAGGATTGCCATTGTGCTGTCTACATGTGAGTGAGCCTGGCTCACCAAGCACATGATCAGTGTCATGCAATGCAGACCGAGCCACAAGCAGCTTCGCCATCACTGGGACGTGACCAGCGCGACATTCAGTGGGACCAGAATCCTCAAATTATGGTTCAGGGCGTTTAAGGTTTGGGGGATTGCGCTGAAGAGGCTCCAAAGGGCACCCTGAGTAGAGGAGGGCCGTTGACTGCCAGCTCTCGGCATGCTCTTTTGCACCCTGGAAGATCGGATCTTTCAGCTCAGGACTCAAGCTTGCAAGACCCAGGGCCTCACGAGGCCCGCGCCCAGTGCTGATGGACGCTCAGTCCCCAGGAGGATCCACAGCTCCGTCCTCCGCACCTCGCTTCCAATGAGTGCCTAGCTGCAAAGGTTCCCAGCCGTACCGCGAAGGCCCTCGCAAGGGCCAGGTGAACTTGAGCAAAGGCCCGCGGTCTTGGCAGGTCTTCTGTTTCACGGTGCGCTCGTGAAGTCCAAGCTTGGGGAGACACGGCTACGAAGCGGCTGTTGCACCCGCCGAGTGACGTGATCAACGGAGACGTCTTGAATTTCATGCCCGTCATACACATTGTCGAGCACGATTCGGCAGCTGCCTGGCATCGACACTGTTCTGCTTGCTGGCCGACCTTCGTTTGTAAGCAGGGGGCATCGGGGATCGTTTCCTTTCTGCTGAAGGCCCGTGGCCTTCTCTTGGTGCCGGTCGGCCTATGCTGTTGGATGGGTATCACAGGAAGTTGTATGGAAACTACACAGTAGGCTCGGTCTTATGAGTCCTACTTGCGCTGCCATCAGCTGCTACGTCCCGAACAGATTGCACACCTGCTGTCTCACCTCACCTTCTGACTCGAATTTTGTTGTGAGTCTCGCAGAAGTTTGGATGGCGATGGGCAGGTCTTCTGGTAGTCAAGCTGCACGGCTGTCCTTAGATTAGCCATGCTTGTGACGATAAATTCTTCGGAACCAGCTGCCGGCAAGCAGCTTCGATGCCGCAGAATTGATCGTGGCAGCATCCTGAAATTCACGCCCGTCTCGTCTTTCTCAGCCTCGGGGTACGCGTCGGCAACTGCTGAAGATCAACAGTGTTCCGCTTGCTCTCCGGCCGCTTTATAAATTTATAGTTTTTTCAGACGGGCGTAGCTTGTGTTCTGCTGCCGCCCGTGGCCTTCTCTTGGTGCCGGTCGGCCTATGCTGTTGGATGGGTATCACAGGAAGTTGTATGGAAACTACACAGTAGGCTCGGTCTTATGAGTCCTACTTGCGCTGCCATCAGCTGCTACGTCCCGAACAGATTGCACACCTGCTGTCTCACCTCACCTTCTGACTCGAATTTTGTTGTGAGTCTCGCAGAAGTTTGGATGGCGATGGGCAGGTCTTCTGGCAGTCAAGCTGCACAGCTGTCCTTAGATTAGCCATGCTTGTGACGATAAATTCTTCGGAACCAGCTGCCGGCAAGCAGCTTCGACGCCCGCAGAATTGATCGCGGGAGCATCCTGAAATTCACGCCCGCCTCCTCTTTCTCAGCCTCAGGGTACGCGTCGGCAACTGCTGAAGATCAACAGTGTTCCGCTTGCTCTCCGGCCTGTGTTTGCAGCCCCGAGCACGTTTGGGTATGTCAAGTCTAGACTAGACCAAAGCACTTTTAAATTGCAAGGTCGCTGATTCTCGCGTTCGAGCTGGTGGGCGTTCAGTCGGCACACAAGCCCAGAACAACGTCTGATTGCATCTAGTCCTTCGTTCTGGACACCGAACCGCAGAATCGTTGACTGCACGCCCTTGTAGGCAGGATAACGAGTAGATAACGAGTGATAACTTGGTGCCACCTTAATGCAGGCACTTAACCATATCTGCAACAAGCCCTATCCTCAAGGCTTGGGCCTAGATCCTATGCAGGAGTCAAAAAAGAGAACGACTGGCAACACTTCTGTTTTTCGTGCCAAGTCGCTCTCGCCCAAAAACCCGCTACTTAAAGCAGCCACCCTAAGCTAAGCCCCAAACCCTACTCTGAGCTGAAGCGGCTGCTGATCGTATCACCCGGTCTGTGATGACTTCCTTCTCGCAGTATCAGATCCTGTAGTCCAACCAGAGACCTGCCGTGCTTGCTACGGCTTGCGATGGAGGAGCCAGGAAAGAAGCTTTCACTCGTCGGGTTTCGGGCCAGCCCAACAGATCCGTTTCGAAAACCCAAAGACCTCACAAAGCCTGCGACATGGCGCAGGTCATGGATTGTACAGGGACTGGCTCATGAGGGACTTCCTATCAGGAAGCTTATCGCCTGGGCTCGGTCAAGCCTTGAAATGCCCTATCTTCAACACACTCAGCCTTGACCCTTCGACTCCGAAATAGTTGTTTGTCCAGGATGCGTAGTAATTAGACTCCTGGTGTGCTACACCTTCACTTCCCGTCATTTCCGCTTCGCTTCTGTTCAGCCCGTGCCGGCTGTGGTGAAGGTTCGCTGCTGAGCACGAACTACTGTGCCGCCGCCGAAAGGATTGCTTCTGCATGCGGCTTAAGGCCCAGCTGGGCGGTGGTGGTGCTTCACACCTTCTTGCGGCATGTTGTCACCTTTCCTATTTAGAAGAGCAGGGCTGCTAGCAGCTGACGCAAGCTTTTGTGTCATCCTGGATGAATTGCGAGTGGGAGAGAGCCCCGTCGATTCATGGCTAGGACGCCAACAGCTTGCTTCCTGTGTGCCACGAACCCGAAGAGCCAATGCAACAGCAGTGTTTTACGTCATATCCAAGTCGTGCCTCCCTGCGACCAAGATGTGTATACAACCCTGCGAGCGCCCTGGAGCGCCAAAATCCCTGACAGCCCTGGTGTAGCTGCTTTGCCATAGCCCCTGGGTGAAGGGGCCGGGTTAATTTCAAGCACTTGAGAGCTTGGAGCCGGCAAAGATGGTGTTGCGCCCTTTCTGAAGTAAGGCCGGAGCTGTCAAAAGCTGCTGCTCTCAGTGTCGGCTTGTGTATCTTCCTCGTAGTTGACTGTTACGTTACGACTATCAAGATTTATCAAATTGCTATTGTTACTTTGACATGATTACGACTATTGTCATTCATAGCACTGTTTCACTTTATCGGGCCCTGTCTGTGCTTACATGCGTTGTACCTACGTTTGAAGCTGTATCAGTTGCCTGTTCCTGCCAAGATTCCGCATGTACCTCTATCTGTGGCAGCTTCCGCATTCTCACGTCATCTTCAGCCAGTCCAGCTCAAGAAAGCAAAGGCACACACAAGACTTGATCCAACAAGGGCCGAGTTTGATCGTAGCTTGATGTAGGTCGGAGGCCGCTGCGATATGAAGGGGTCGATGGCAGTCGATGGAAGTCACTTGCTGCCAGCTTTGGTTAAGTAGCTGCAGCACAGGAGCCCCTCCTTTCCACCGTTTCGGTTTCCCGTCTCTAATCATGTAGCCGCACGGGCAGCTGCTGAGCTGCAGGCTCGGCGACCTCCTCGGCGCATAATGTTGTAGTAGCACTGTAACAGTTTCAACTCCGACCCGCATCGGAGTACTCTCGGTTCATGCGACCTTCAGCCTGCAAGTGATGTGATGTGAGACAGGTCAGACAGGTCGGATGGGCGGGGCCATGCAAGTACTGCCACAGCCCACAGCTTGATCCCTCCGTATTTCAAGGTCATCTGGGTATCGCGGCAGTTCAAACTTTGCGATTCAGTACACCTAACATTTTGGGAAAAAGGTACCACATGGAACGTCTTCGTCTGTAGAGCCGAGGGTTTTGGTGGGCTACTTGAGTATAAATGAGCAGAGCACATTTTATCGGAGCTGGACATGAATGGTTTCTATCTATCATCTATCTATCTATCTACATTCATCACCTCCGTCAGTCATCACACTTTTTGGGTGAGCGACATAGCTGCAGAAAGGAATCATTGAATACACCGGACCCGGAGCCCTCCGTCTGGATGCGTTCGTTTTTCCACCAGAAAGCCAAGACGGTGGTTCTCCTTGGCTTATCCAAACGAGTAAGTCAGCTGCCATCACCACCGTAAGCAAGCTCGGTGTTTGACGTTCGCTCCGGGCCAGGGCTCCTTGCCCCATGGCCCTGCGAGAGCTTCGGGCCCGATGCCGCCCAACTGCGCTTGGTATGACTTTAGGGGGACTTTAGCATGGTTTTTGTGATCCAGGATGTTGCGGCTGCAGGGTGTAGGTTGGGAACATTTGGGAAGTGTCAGGGGTCAAGGTTTCAGGGTGCCTTGGTGCCGCGGCGGCTAGCGGTTTCGAGGGTGTACAGGTATGGTTCAGGCTCGGGGGCTGTAGGGTCTCCTAGACTATGCGGGCATCTTGATGGGCCAGATGGGTATGTTTGGAAGTCGTGGCATTCAGAATCGCCGGGTCACGTCAATCAAGTGATCGAGTTCGGGCGCTTTGAGCAAGCAGAATCTTTCAGGGTTTGCAAGCGAGGCCATGTCCTCCTGCAGTCCGACTCCGTTTGGGTGTAGCCAAGCTCTCTGTGCATTTCAGGCTTCCGGCACACGCTGTGCTGGAGACGAGCTTCCTCGTTCTGGACTCGGCAGAGTGGTCCACGCCCGGTCTCCTGAAAATTCAGATTTTGGGATTCTGGGGAGGTGCCCGAAACACCAAACCTCCAGAGACGTTGTGAGCTTCAGGCCTGGGCACCTCTGAGAATGCCTTCACTTTTGGTGCACGGCCACATTACATTTCTTCTAGTTCCACTTACTCCCGCCTCAGGGCTAAGTATTTAGGGAGGAAGTCGGATTCCCGTGTTCAGGTTGTCGGTGCCGGCATAACTGCCGATCTGCGGTTTTGGCACCCCACCGATGACGGCCTGTGCGAGAAACTGCGAGAGGAATTGCATGTGAGTGGCCTTAAGCCCCATGCCACAAACGCAGACAAGGCACGTAGCTTGCTTGGAGGCCGTGCCGGACCCTCAGTAGTTCGATTTCGTCGGCTGGTTCTGATGCAGGACGGGACCGAGCCATGGTGATGCGCCGTTGAGGAAGTAGATGCGAAGTCGAATTCTGTGCAGACCATGCAGCAGCGAGTCATGCGAGGGCCGACCACCCTTGCGTGGACACTTGCCCGTGCTTTGCCAGATACCAGCCAGAGCTGGGCTCCAAGACTTTCGATGTGCTGTGTGTGTGTGTGTCTCGCTTGCAGGGCCTTGTTTTGAGAGGCTTCCCTTTTGTAGTCTTGCAGGTGTTCCATGTGACTGACTCTGCCTAGGAACTGGCCGGAGGAAGGACGCGTGCTTGACAGCGTGCTGGACAAGTGACCCGCGTTTTCGTGCTCTTGCTGCGTGGGATCACAGCAGCAAGCAGTGGCAGTGCAATAGATCAGTCCTCACGCCAGCAGGAAAAGAAGCATCATGGCTTGCTTGTAGTGCAGCGTTCCTAGCAGGTTCAGCAAGCCTTTGTGGGCCTGTCATTCCTTGACTATCCACGCAACAATGGTAGATGCCAGCCGAGTATGCTTCCAGGTATGTTGCGCGACAGCCGAGACCTTTGCGCATGGAAGAGGCTGCAATGTAGCCGTGCGAAGACTGCTCGTTTTTCATGTCTGAGCGGCTCTGAGCTGAAGCACACGGTGGCCACTAAAGGGCGATGACAGTGCGACATAGTGCTGCCACATACAAACTCGAGAACAATGCTACTGTTTGCAGCCACTGGGAGCCACACACGCTAACGAGAATCGTAGGTGCTGCCACGAGAAGTTCGAACCATGAAGCCCTCAAGCTTGTGCTGTTGTTCAAAGCCCGAGTAGGAAGCATATCCAGTCATATAGCCAGCAGTATGAACTAAGCACTTTTGACAAGTCGGCTAGTCGTCAGTTCAACCCTCGTGGTACCAAGCCTGGGGGTGGCTGCCGCAGGAGAGCAAGATTTATCATCCTAGCAATCCTAACTCAAAGCTCGTAGATCTTCTGTTGTCCACTCAGCTTTCGGCTGTCCGGAGGTATTGGCCATGAAAGATCCCCAGGACTTCTTTGCACAAGCTGTGCGGATTGAAGCATTGGAACTTCGATTTTTCTGCAACTTCATAGAGGGACTTGGCATCAGACTTTTCGCGTTGCTTTGTTGCCGCTACAGCAAACTTGAGTGTCTGATCTCGGCCTCGGAACCAAGTTTGTGAAGTTCCTAAGTATTCCTAAGTCCCAGTATCAGACACAGCTGCGGCTGCTCGGCCGCGATGATACTCATGACCATGCTGGCAACGTCGGTGATCATGGCCCGGATGAGATTTTTGACTTTTGTAACCCTTGATCGGCGAAGGTATGGATAGCAAGCCCCAGCCGCCCTGGCTCAATGCACCTTGCTGGAAGCACGTCCACGAATTTCCCAAAACGTGCGCTAAGTCGAACGTCACCAGACCATGCCCCAAATTCAGTTGCTTCAAGGTCCAGGTTTTAGTATGGTCCTGGACTTATGTCTCGAGCTCCATGCCGGTAGCAAGGAGCACCTAAGTCAGCAGCCAGAGTGACCAAGAGGTTATGCGCGAAATTGGGTGGCGTGCAAAGGGGCGATTTGCAACTGCGCTCCTGGCAACGTGAGGTCTATGTGCAAGTGCGAGCTGCCCCAAAGCCAGTGTGCCTGATGTTTCGTGAGACGTCTTGGCGGGAAGATGCCTCCATATGCCATCCAACTGCGTGCTTCTCGGGAGAAAGCCTTGTTGCCATCGACAAGAAGGCGTTCAAACCACTGCGCTCTTGACGTTTGAATGGTTCAGGGTGTGGGGTTTCTGGCTTTAGGAGGGTTTAGGAGTCGGGCTGAGACGTGAAGGTTTAGAGTTTAGAGCTCAGATTTTCAGCCTTCGGCTTGTCGCTTCACTCCTCTTTGGGAGTCTGCAGAGTCCTTTCCCCGCTCTCCTCCGGCCGAAAGAGGCTTGGACTTGAATGCCAGCATGGGGCATGGAGCCTCACAGCGAAACGGACTTGCAAACCTATGAACCCTCGCCGCGCTAGCAACCCGGGGATCGTCCAGAAAGCCCGGGAAAGCAGCATTCAAGCACCCTGCTTGTGCAGTCTCTTGCGCAAGCGAAACTGCGGTTCAGATTCCGGCCGCCAAACCGCGACCCTGTTGGCAGGAGACTGCGGACATGCTAAAGAAGGAAATCCCGGCCGGTGCCTCGTGACCGTTCGATGCGAAGCTGTTTTCTTCAGGGTTCCAGGGGCGTTTTGGTGTGGCAGGGAATTGCGGAGTTTTTAGGATCTGCAGAATGGGTGGAGCAAACCTTGGGGCACTATCTCATGAAACAGCACCGGCCCTAAACCGCTTAAGCCTGACTCTTACCCCCTGCGAAGGCTTGAACACAAAACTCTGCATGCCTCTTATGTTTATACTTCTCGTTGGGATCTTGTTGTCAGCTTGTGTGTGAATCTGAGCCTGCTGTGTCCCCTTTGCTTTCGCACCTCTGAGCAGACCCAGTTTGTCTGTAGACTGGATGCACTCGGGAGATTGGGAACTCAAAGGGGTGCAATGATGCTGCGTGAGGGCCTGCTTTAATAGATGTGAGTCCTGTGCCGATGATGGCCATTCGCGGCCCCACACCCGGTCCATGTTGCTGTGGTTCGCACAAACTTCGTCGTCTCGTGGATTGATAGGACGCATGGCGCGCAGCAGTGGACATGCGTTGCGTTGCTGTTCTTGCGCTGAGTTGTGTGCTTAGCTGCAGCTTGGACAGATCCCCATACTTGAGATGGCTCTTCTGGATAACCCACAGCATGCGTGTGGCGAGTTTCAAGGTCTACTGGCTACGTGATGCAGTTTGAAGTCATACCTGATACATTCGAGACGCGTGCTATCCAAGTCATCTTTCAGTGATACCAAGTTCTCTCGTTTCATATACGTACAATCGCCATGTGTGCTGGCATGCCCGAGTCCATTGCTTCAAAACAGGCCCGAATCCGGAAAAAAAACACAACCGGTCAGGAGACAGCATGTGAGTGGCTGTAAGCTAGGTACATGCATGTCATAATGTGTAAGTAGGTCGGTATGTAGCATGGCAGTTACAGGCATATAGCTAGATGAGTGTACGCAGGTAGGTATGTCCAACTGCAGTGAAAGCCGTATGTATGCGTACATTAACTAATGGTATGTCTATGTGTGTGTGTGTCCTGGGTATGCACATGCCTGCATATCTGTGTGTACGTATCTCTGACCTATGCGTCTATGTATAGAGTGGTATAGTATGATATAGTATGCATGTGCTAGTGCGTATGCGAATATGTGCATATGAGTGTGTTGCTTGAATGCTTCTAAGCTTGGGGCATTTCGTGCCGCAGCCCTGTGCATCTCCCGAGCGACTGCCTGCCTGCATGTAGCTGTGCTAGGAGGCAGGCCGACGTCTATTCTCTGATTTGGGGCATTTGGTGCTTTATCGGTGCTTTTGAATCTCGGATTTCGGGAATACGAGAGGTGGATGTAAATCTCCGTGATTGATGTATGACTGTTGAGGGCCCAGCTTGCATCGCTCGCGGCTTTGTGCGCCAGTGTCTGCGAAATCCGTCAGCCTGAACTCCTGGAGCTATCAGGCCACATTGCAAAGCACCTTGAGGCCTTTACTGGGTAGCTGAACCAAACCACTCGCGTTACTGAAGAAATGGCATGACTGTGCCATATCACCAGTACAGGTGAAGGATCGCCTCAGCCACAAATTGAAGAGGCAAAGGTACTTTAATTAGGTTATGGGTATGCTTTCCTCGAACCCGGGCCTCGCTTGGCAAGTCGGCCACATGTGAGAGGCCTTGTCGCCGAGACGCGCCATGGCTGCAGGCCACTGCAGCCACGCACCTCGTCTGCATTCTCGATACTGCAGAGATCTGGAGAGGGTAGGGCCTCATGTTGGGACATGAGAGGACACTTGCGAAGTGATTCTTGCTTACCAAGGGTGGTTTTCCATGGTCTGAATGATAATTTGCAGGTGCATGAGGAAGCGTGCCACGAACCGAGGCTCAGGATGATCCATGGGCCTTGCTTGCCAGTCAGCTGCAGCAACTGAGTCGGCATTATGCCGAGGAGTACGGGCTGATGTGGTGAGCTTCGGACTTTTGCAAAGACCGTGTGCCTTTCATGTAGATCCTCGTTCATGGTGCTTGCATGAGGCGAAAGCGGCAGAATTGAGAAGGGTTCTACGCACGGGTGTGCCGAGCTTTTGACATTGACATATTCACCTTGACCGGCTTGTTTGCCGGAGGAGCAGAACAAGCTCATCGCCTCGCTGCGGCCTTCTGAAACGTTTTGGCCCTCGCACACCGACAGTCTCGACGCTCGGCCTGCAAGAAGCACTGGCGAAGCCTTTCCGCACGAGAAATTCAACGCATTGCCTTGTAAGCTTTTGGAGATGGTCCGCCTGTTAGCTCAATCGAGGTTATGAATGAAAATTTATTGCAGGTAGGTCGAGTAGCTGTTTTCGATAAGATATCTCTAGATAAGGATCCGTTGCCGGAGATCTTGCTGAAAAAGACCGGCTTTCTTGGAGGCAGCGATCCGTAGCTTGCCCAGGCACCCCCACGCCCGCAGACGCGCTTGGCGCTGGAACCCCGCCAAGCAGCTGCAATTCCAGACTCGGCCGCTCCGGTTGCGCTTCAGGGTCCAAGGAGGTGAGCTCTTGAAGTGCCGTCGTTTGATGCCTTGGAGAAGCATCACGAGGGTGCATAAGAGCCGTCGAGAGGATGATAACGAGTAGAATGCAGCCAGGCTCAAGACTGGCCAATCGGCTGCTGTCGTGCGCCACACCCTGTGCGATGGTGTAGTTGATGTGCGAGAGGTTATAGATCAAAGGGTTGAGATGAGTTTCTTTTTGGGGTTCTCTTTTAGTACGGAACCAGACTCGCGGTTAAGAAAGGCTTCGCAGGCAACCGTAGCAGTTCAAGATGGACGGATGGAAAAGGACTTCTATAACCCTTTTGGGGTCAGGTTGTCAAGACAGCCTCCAATGGCTCAGCAGACGCTGCTCGGAAGCAAAAGGGTTTGCGAGCTTAGGGCCTATGGGGCCTGGATCTCATGGGGCTTGTAGGCTCTAGGCGTAGGCTTCAGGGCGACCCTAGCAAACATCCTGTAACATCTCAGCATTGATGCACGTGAGCATTGGATTTGATACAAACTCCGTCTTGTTTATTCAGTCATGGCGAAGACACATTCACACGTCGTCGATGCATGTGCCATGCCCCGGAACCCGCTTTAGCTGAGCATGCTGAGCTAACCCCAGAACATGTCTAGCCCAGTCACTGCAGGCGGCCCGAGCGCAAACTGGAATTGCCAGGCGACCTGGAAGCAAGAAGCGACTCCGAGCATCAGTACCGAAAGTCGCCCATGTCGCAACACATCCGCCTGATCCGCAATTTTCTTCCCATGTTGGTGTGGTCGAGCCTGGCAGCTGTAGGGAAGGAACGCGCGCCCTAGGGTCTACTTTCTACTGCCAACAAGTGGATGTGCTGTGTTGTGTGATCATGCATTCCCAAGCTTTGTTTGGCCTGGCAGCAGCATCTTTTACGGCTGATTCGTTGTTCTTCATTTCTGCTGGACACGCACGAAGTGTGACTTGGCTGTTGGCCTGCATGGCCCGAGTTCGACAGCGCTGGAGTGGACAACAAGGGCGAGCCGCCAAGCAACCCTGGATTGGACGAGCTTTGACACTCGTCGGTGACTATGTTGCTGGTTCAGGGGCAGTAACTGGCTGCAACTTGAGTTAGCCAAGCCTCTTTGGAGCTGTATCGGCATGGCCTCGGCCGCCTTCGGTGTTGGAGCTTGTTTATCTCTGAATGTAGATGTCTCGTCTTCGCGTGTTCGCTGCCAGACCTTGCTTGATGCGACAGCCCCAGGGCTACTGCAGGACGATTGTATGCTTGATTGCTGAAATCGGAAAGTGCGGTGTAATCACGGGAGGACTGTAGCTTGTACCTGTAACTACTTGAATCAACCGCTGGTCCGTGCTGAGCAGACAGACTGTTGGGCTGCCTTGGTCTGCAGCCTCTCCTGCTAGAGGCAACGAGGCACATTACGGAGAAGGACGATTACGACCATCCGCAGGTCCGGAGACCAACTCAAGACCCAAGTTCGGGCCGATGGAACTCCCCAGCTGCACCAGTGACTTCGGAAAGTTCGTATGTCGTCGACTTTCATGAGGGCTGGGTAGGTAACCTTTAACTTAACCCCTTGGGAAATGTATGGACTCAACTGAACCCTGCAATGCCTGCTGTGTCCTAGCTAGATGGGAGGCAAAAACGTAGCCCTACCAACAACGAAGGTTAACCTTCTTTGGGCTAGGGCATTCGGCCTCTAAGCAGAAGGCCTGCCAGAAGTGATGTATGACCAGTTGGACAGTTGCACCACTGCCGTTTTCGTAGTCCATGCTGGCTGCACAGACCTGGGTGTGAGTTCGTTTTCAACAGGGCTTGTAGACTTTCTTTAGGGTTTAGGGTCTAGACAATCCGGCTGGAAAGCAGTCTGGACAAGCGTGTCAAGCCTGCCTTTCGTCGCACAGGTGAAACGGTTCCTTCGCCGCGTTCCGTGCTGTTCGCGTACTTTGGAGCAGCTTGCCTCGGTCCAAGATATGTCGAACTTTGGGAAGATTGTGGGGCGACCCGACAGTTCTTTTGTTACTTCCACCAAAAACAGCGGCGCTCATTGTCGCAGCATTAGGAGCTGGGTGTGAGATACAGGTAGGGTTCTGCACAGTGCACCGAACGCTGCTGAACGCTGCAGTCGTGGTAGCTGCGATGGTGACAGCTTCAGGGATTTTCAAGGCATGCTCGACTTCTCGACAGAAGGCAAGAGACGGCAAACAGTGTTAACGAAGCCTCTAGAACTGTTGAACGCCCGGCGGGACTAGACGCCCAGACAGCCCAAGCAAGTTATTTCATCGAGAGTGGTTTCTGTGTCACATGGCTTTACTACGCCGCTCATTCTTCGTGATTACCCTGGCTTCTGCAAGAATGATGGGGCTCCAATTACACAGGTCATCCGCAGAATGAACATCCGCTCGATTCAGCGTCTGCACGAGCTGGCAATGAATTCACACCTCCAGGGCACTGCGAGCTGCAGCCTAATACGTATGGGCTTGTGAGGCACATCGTGCTGCGATATCTGACGCTAAAGGCCCGGGCCGTGACATGCGGTTTTGCGAATTTTGCGTTGACATGAACCATCGACCAGACATCAAGACTGAACACTTGCTGTTGTAAGGCTCCAGTCACGTGTGGGGCTCTTGCTATGCACCGAATTGCACACTGCCTATGACACTCAATTGGATCTAAATTTCAGGACCCGTCCATGCTGGTCCGATAACGTTAGCTTGATTGTGACCCACTGCACCTGAAGAGATGCGTCTATTAAGTCTATTCCTCCTTGTGGCAGGAGCCACGACGTGAGGGTCGACTGGCGTCTGTTGTCCGAAGTGGTTGGTTCCCGGCACTGCATTTAGCAGTGCGTCAATAACACTCCTGCTGCTATCTGCCGTTGCCGCTGTTTTTGTGCAGCTGGAGTGATTGATGAGGCTACTGGTAGAATTGCTAGCTGCTAGACCTTGTCTTATGATTCATGTGATAACTGTTGTGCATTCTTGTAGGCGTGGACATGACGTGCAGTAGCACAATGTTTTTGTTTTATTGCCGCTGTGCGTGTCATTCGCACTACATGGAGGACCCATCCGAGTATCATGCCTGTTGTTAGGAACATGTTGAACTAAGAGCTATGCGTGGTACATGATATTGCTACGATACATGTGAGTCGTATGCTTCGTCACATGACGTCGCAGCGCGGCAACGTGCTCAGTTCTCAGAATTCGTCGAGAAGCCATGGCTGCGGATCTCTTCTGGCGGCTCCGGGCACGGGAGCCCCTGCAGCGATGGGAGGCGACCCGAAGGGCCTAATCCCAACAGTGCCGGGCATGTTGGGAAGTATAATCAGTAGCTATCGATGACGACAACACAAGTCGTGATCTGAGCAAAACAGCGGTGGCGCAGCGGTTTGTGAATTCAGGCTCTTGGGGGTTCTTGCCTGCTTTGAAGCAGGGGTCGGTTGAGACCTTCGCCGAGTGGAAGCAGTCCTCCGCTCCATGCAACATACAGCTCAACAAAACTCGAACTGTAACCCCCGCGGCAGCGAAAGGCGAGCATTAAATCGTTTTGTGGGAGATCGCAGCGGATGCAGTGTATGGTGGCAGCCGAGCACAACCGGCCAAACGCAAGTCTCCAGCTTACCCAAAGCCTTCTGGGGCTCAGAGGAGCAAGCCTCCTCTGGGCCCCTGTTGGCCACAATTTTACATTTTTGTTATAATAAAAACCCAATAAGGATTAAAAATGATCATTTTTAATATAACCCCAACAGGGAACCAGTCCTGTCTCAGGCATATGGAGAGCTGGCTGCCCAAAGCTCTGAGGACTGCCGATGGTAGAGCTGGTGGTCCCCCAGGCTTGAGTGGTCCAGGGCTTAGGCATTCTGTGCTAACAAAGCTCGCAAACATTGCAAAGATATAATATATAACATATTATATATACTATATTATATATAACATATTATATATAATATATTATATATATATAATATATTCTATATAATATATTATATATAATATATTATAGATAATATATAATATCCTGTTCGCTTTGCAGTTTCTTGCCACATGGTCTTGGAGCCGACCCATCACTGTTTCGGCACGAGAGGCCCCCCCGCCCCATCCACAGCGGGCTTCGCTTGCAAAGTGCCTTAACTCCGTGTGGAGGAGCTTCTGCAGAATACAGGCCCCGTGGCAGGAAACGGCAGGGATAGTAGTTTGTTAGCACGAACCGACGATACAGCTGTACTATTTGAGCTCCGGTCAGACGCGTTCAGATCTGGGGTGTCGCTCCTGCCTCCACGATGTGGGTGGCCCGAAATGCAAGGCTTGATCTCCATGGGCCTGAAGGACGGAGAGCTGGGTGTCCTTAGCGGCAGGTTCACATCTGGGGGTCAGGAATGCCGAGGCTAACTTCGGAAGGACTTCTGCTTGCTGCTTCGTGCAAGTTCTGATGCTAGTTCAGCCGCCCGCTGCTCAAATTCATGTGTGCCCATGCTATTGATACTGTAGTGGCTAGGCATCCTCGCAATGCTTGCTGCTTGGAAGCCTCACGTTACTAGCATTGTGTGCTAATCTTCCCGATTCACAACGCCAGAAGTGCCACAAACAGCCGAAGAACAGACAACTTCAACCAACATGCAGTACAGAAGCGCACACAAAAGTTAACCGTGAATGCTACCTAAACCCTAAACCCTATAGAATCGTCCTCGTGCATGGTCATTGTTACCTGAACTGCCCTGCAATGCGGGCTCGTCCTTGCTATATAAGTGGGAGGGAAAAATACCGAGAGATCGACCGTTGGTTTTTGCAGGACCCGGAGTTCCTGGTCCGCAGCACGGCCTGTTCAGCCTTGCAGAAGCTGCCTCCGGAGGTGCCTCCGGGGGTTTTAGGGGGTTTAAGGGTTTAGGGGTTTAGGGGAAAAAAGGGGTTTAGGGTTTACAGAGGGGTTTAGGGTTTAGGGTTCCAGCCACCGAGATGTTTTGTCGCGAGGATGTCTGTGAGGACAGTTGCCAGGATGAGTTGGAGAGGAGGACTGAAATAGTTGTCGGCGGGAAAGCTCCAGGGAAAAGCAGGAGTCATGCTGTGGGCCCTAAACCCTAAAGCCTAAACCCTTTGGTGGAGCTGGGCAGCTCTTTTCCTGGTAGAGCCCATCCTGCTCGGAAGATGACCTGCCTCTCAAACCCAGCTTGGTGCGATCATTCCCATGAGGGTCTTAGATTTAAGAGGATCTCGAACCGGGTCCTAAGAAGGCAGCCCGAAAGGAGGGCTCTCTCCAACAAAGGGCCCCGTTTGATTTCCAGTGCTTGGCCATCAATGTCGCGTTGCTATTTTCCGGGGCTTTCGGCAGAGCTGACACCACAGCCACAAAGCTAACAGTAGGGAAGGGGGAACGAAAAACGCTTCTCGCTTTGGCTTTTCCCGGTTTTCCTCTCTCTCTTCTTGGCCCAAGAAGTCCTCGGAGACTGCGGGAATTCAGCTTCCAGAGGCGCTATTGGAGCAGCCGGACCTGCTCCGCGCTTGCCTCGACGATGAGGAGGCTGGCAGTTTTTTCTTTTGGCATGAGCGGTACATGAAGAGGTCTCTATGATTCTTTAGATATCATATGATCATATGAATCATATGCTAAAGATGGAATCGGGATCTTTCTATTCAGGGTTTTTTTCGTAAGACCCCTTGATTTTCTGAAACTCCTTCACTTGATTTTAAATGACATCTCCGGGCGGGTTCAAGATTCAGAGTTGGTTGTTTCTCAACGTGTCATCTCCTGGTTTCGTCTTTGCTTCGCAATGGGGCAGCTAGCAAGAGAAGAGGGAAGATAGGGAAGTGAGTACTGCAAGGGGAACATATGACGTTTCATGAGGCCATCGACCCCCGATTTGGGCCTGTTCGTGATGATCATGTCTACCACAGGTTTCTCAAACACCTGCAGCTTGTGAGATTTCGGATGTTGTGGGCTTGGCCCAATGGATGCTAGCTGCTCGAGGGTCATAGTAGAGGATGCGTGTGGAACCCTTGCTGCTGGCAGAGCTGTGATTTTGGAGTTTGCCAGGCTATGGTGCGGCGTGCTGCCTGCAAGGCTTAGACCGGGTCGTCTTGTGGTTGGGTGACTGTTGGGCAGATGGACCTCTGGGTCCGTACTGGTGCAGGGAGCTCATGACGGACCTGTGCCTGTCTCAGTGTCCTCCTTTTTAGGCCCTCTGGGCGCTGGACCCCTTGCAGCTGGAGCCTTTCGTGGCCTCATGGCTGCCTCCAACTTGGTTTGCCGTGAAGTTAAACTTCCTGTCTGTGCATACCCGTAGCATCCCAAGGACATTGTTGCCGTTCGTCTAACAGATGCAGACCTGCTTGTTCGCTGGACCACCGGGAAGGTGGGCAATCGTAGGCGGTCTTAGCCGTTCACTCCCGGAGTTCGTTGATTTGTTGGCCAAGCTATGGTGAAGTTGGGTGTCGTGGTTGAATGGGGGTTTGGACACGCGTCGATGGGCGAAACTTTGGACACTTCAACCGATAGTGTGCAGACAGAGAATCTAGGAGGGTCGCATCATTTTTGCTTCAAATGGGTTGCGTTGGCACGACGGCATTGTTCTCGTGCTTGGATGCTCTTAGACTGCTGCTTGAGCGCTGAGGGAGCTGCTAGAGCTCTTGAAGTGATCGTGGATTTTGGTGATTGCTGCGCTACAGTTACAAGGTAGAGAGACTTGCGGGTGGGTGACATCAAGATTTGTCTCATGGCTTCTTTGTCCTGGCCCCTTCTACTCATTACCTTATTGGGGCTGTAGGTACTGAACCGTTCATGACCGTGCCTCGTGCAACCCGTACATGCCGTACATCCGTCCGATTAGTCCGAGCATGCTGCCAAAGATCCCAACGCGGTTCAGGGTTTAGGGTTTACGGTTTCGGATGATATTCAGGGAATTGTCGAACAGTTTGACTCAGCCCCCCGTATGGCAGCAAGCAACTGTTCAGGTGCCTGCCAGGACGACATAGGATGGGTCACGTAACGCGAGCGCTGTGTTTGGCTGAAGATGAGCGATTGGTACTGGTGGCCTATCTCGGTTGGCTCTGTCCAACCGATACTCGAGCGACACAGCGTCTCCTTTTGAACAGTTGTGTTTTGCTGCAGCATACACATGTAGAGGCCGGAAGAATTACATAATGATAGCACATCGTAATTTTGACTTTATTAATTAGTAGTTATAGTGTACAATGCCCCCAGGCCCCATTCCATTCCTTCGGCCCCTAGATCGCTCCGCCGACTCCCGCGCCTTTTCAACTTGCCCCACAGGTTCTGGAGCGGATGGCCCTCCCGACACTTCAGTGCCCTGAATGTCAAGCCTTGACCTGGCGTTTCCTTCGCTCAAGGCTTGAGCTAAGCTAGTAGGTTGGTGGGGCTTGGGTTTAGGGTTTAGGGTTTAGGGTGTAGGTTGGTGGGGCTTGGAGCCCATGCTCTGTCTCTTGCCTCGTGTCAGGTCAAAGGACAGCTGAAAGCAGCTGAAACAGCAAACACGAGAACAGCTACAACTTAATCCGCAAATGTTGAATCTACCAAAGCCCAAGTAGCACTACTTGTATTCAGGCAGCGAGAATCATGGGTTTGCTGCTGTGGGCATTTTGCAGTTTTGTGTCAGGCCCAGCAGGCACCAAGACAAGCGCAAACACGCGCACACGAGAAAACAGATACTTGACATACGGCAGCAACAACAAGCACAGCACTCCGGCAAACATGCGGAGTGGGGATTCTTCAATTTCTGCAACTGTGGGTTGCGGTTGTTATGGTGTCGCTTCGCTGTCCAAAGTCCTTTCCCAGTCTTTGACACATCCCCAGCCTAGCACAGCCTCAGATCGGCTTGCGTAGTATGAGCCAGAAGCGCTGGGAATGGCCTTTAATTTAAGAGTACCCAGCTTGGAGAACTGGACATCCTAAACTCCAACCGTACCTCCCAAGCAGAAATAGAGGCGATGAAACGCACAGAAGCCGAAGTCAAAACGCTCAAACAAAGGCAGTTGGCTCCGGCTCTAGCTCGCGGCCTGGACCATGGGGACCTGGCGTTGAGAGCTAGCTGTGCAGAGGCCCTGTCGAGGACGGCATGATTTTGACAGGTCCTTGAACAGGGGTTTCTGGATGTTTCTGGTTGCAAGGTTTGGGGGGGAGGGGGGGGGTTTCCCGGCTGGTTGCGAGTCCTGGATGCAAAAGGGAAGGGGTAGGGAAGGGAGTGAGTTTTCGGGGATAGGGACCAGATTTTCCACCGAACAGACTCCAAACCCGAAGCAAACGCAAGCCACATGACAAATTAAGCTGCGAAGGCGTAAGTTTCGGGCAAAGTTTGACGGGGTTTTGGGTAAAGGAGGGTCGGACTTTGTGTTCTGATTTTGTGGTCCTTCCTTTCGCCCTTGTGGCCATCCTCGTTACAGACTCTACTAGGGGTAGGGTACAGGGGGGGAGGCTGTGGTTTCCAGTCTAGGACTGCTACCTGAGTCTTACGCTTGATTTTACTGGTAGATAGCAGGCACTGGTTGCCTTTCACAGGATCGTTTGTGCTTGAAAGTTGTCGCCTGTTGTCAGGAAACATATCTGCTCAGTTGTTGGGTTGGTGAGGCTAGCTTTGCAATGGCATGCCATCGGATTTGGGAGATTGCGCTTTCGGTCGGCGCAACGAAGCCTTGAGCAATACGGACCAGAGCAATTGGGTTCTACATCCGTAGATTCCGTAGATGTTGCCTTGTTTTGGACGTCAATAGCCCTGCTATCAGCCGAGAGCCGAATGCCCGACTCAACCAAGACCTTGCGCACCCGAAACTGGAAGTCCGAAACTAAAGCCTGCAATCGTCAACCCGTGTTCTTCGGTGCCCTCTGGTTTTGATCGGGCGCGCACATCGGGAAGGATCGAGGATGCCGACATTCTGTCCCCGCTTGCTCCGCAACTGGCTTCCTGCCTGGAGGACTTTGCTCATCTTTCCTCTGTGGTGGGGTGTGCTCAGGTTGAAATCAGACTTGTGGCTGCATCTCTAGTTGTACTGTAGCTGGAAACGGCTTATGCATTAACATTAGCTGCATTTGGAGGTGTCCCGTCGTTTTGAATCGGGGTCAGAGCCTGCCAGCATGCAGCTTCAGCGTTGGAAAGTCTGACCACGCAGTTGCGAAGAGGACCTGTCGTGGAAGGTGCGCTTCCATGCTTGCATCTTGGCGGAATGCGAGGGACAACTTTGAGCATCAGGGTGGTAGAACTGAGGCTTAAGGTCCAAGTCGCCCAGTGTAGTTGACGTATGCCACTGGGTGAAGGCAGGTTCTCCAGTACAGTTCTGGTTAAGCTCAGTCCCCTTGAACGGGAAAAGCTGTGCCCCCACCGAAACCTTTGCTCACAGCCCATGCCGGGCAGAAGGACAACTGAAAGCCGAAACCGATCATGTTGCGTTCACGCTGTTCAAGCCGTGAGTGCAAATGCAAGGCAAAGCCTTGGCTCGCTGTGAGGCTGCTGCCGTGTCGCCTTTCGGGGGCTCTTCCGGCTCGACTTCTGCTCGGTACCGGTTGGCAGCAGGTTTAGGCTTCTCAACGTCTTTGCAGTCTGCCATGACTCCTCTGCTTGATGGATCCTGCTTGCCGTGGGCACGCTTGTCACGGCAACCTCCAGCCATCTTGCAGACCTGCAAGAACCGCTGCAGTTGCAAAAACTCAAAAACAGTATAAAGTCTGAAACGACAGCCAGTTCTGTTCGTGTTGCTGTCAGATTGGGCAGCAGCATGGAGACGCATCGAGCAATTTCGAGCACCTCTCCAGCCACACTAGAGCGAGGGAGATGAACCAGCAGTCGTGAAGACCCATAGCAGCTCATGCATATGTCGCTCTTGCGACCTCACTGTGAGGGCATCACACTGTACTGTAAGGGCACCATCTGTGGTCCCAGCCAGGACTCTTGGCTGCACATCTGGCCGACCCTGACGCTCGTGCCCGCGTCGCTGCTTGTACCGCGGCTACGGGTGGTTTTGTGCTTCTGGGATTTCCCCCCTCGTCCGAGACGGGTGTTGGTCACAGCTTTGGGCTTCACCTGTTCAGCCCGAGGGTACACTGTCATGGGACCTGCTTGTGGGGGGATGGATGGAGCCCTGCCATTCCCCCTTATCCAGGAAAAGGTGGTGACTGAGTGAGTACTTGGGAAAGCCAAGTGCCGCACGAGTCGTGTTATGCACCTGCGGTATGTGTAGAGGGATCTAAAGTAAAGCTGCTCGCAAACACTGACAGGCGGCCGGGCACAGCCCAACGCAAAGGCGAAGTTGCTTTGTTGGCTTAGTACCGTGATGGGAGACTGTCGGGGGAAGAGCCCTTGTCGCAAGAACTTCCGCGAGGAATGGCACGCTGTCTTGCCATTATGCCGGTTAGCCGATGGCGGGCCTGCCTAGTTGTTGTTGGGCTGGGTTTTTATTCGGCATGTGTGGGGTGTTTCCCCCTTCAGCCTTTGCCACCGCCAGAAATAACCCGAGCCTCTCCCCCCCCACCCGGCAGAAACGACCCGCAGTCCAAGAGGGGGAAAGGGGACCACAAGTAGAGGGTCAGGAGACCCCACAACACGAGCAACAAAAGCCGGGGTACGCGGGAACGGGGACCACAACCGGATCTGAAGGAGGGAAACTCAAGGTGGCGCGAGAAGGCACCGCAAGTAGATTGCCAGGAAACCCCACGACGGGTGCAACAAAGACCCAGGCACCGGGGAAGGGGGACCACAACAGACGGAACGGAGACCTTGCAACGGGCCGAAGGGACCCCCCCCCTTTCAGAGAAGGGTTTTATTTATTCAGCTGCGACGGAAGGCCCGGGGGGGGGGGGGGGGGG